GAGAGAGAGAGAGAGAGAGAGAGAGAGAGAAACATAGACAGATTAATTACTTCCTTGATGTGAAAAATATATTCGTGTATTCGTACGTTTCATTCGTGTTATAATAGAATATTTCGTACAAAAATATACAACGGCTATAGCTACAAACTAATTTCATTCACTTTGGGTGGTTTCGGATTATTTACATATTTATGAGTCGAGATCAGAGTAATACACATTTCATATTGCGGCGCGCTTCTGTGTTCACCGTTTGTGAAGTATCGAATTATTTTAAATTTCGGCCAGATTTATTCCCTTTTCGTGTCCTCTCGTGGAAAAGGAGAGGAGGATGGGGGGAGAGGCGATAGACGTTTTCATCCCGGTATCCGTATCGGTGTCGGTGCGCACGTACAGGCTAAACGATCAAAAATTTAGTGCCCGTTGAATCGCATCCAACGCGATATAACGCGAGAGGTTTCGAGCCATCTTTCGTCTCACTCGGGTCATCATGCGGAAGCTCTCCGCTGCGGACCCACTGTCAAAAATAAGCAACGACTGCGTGAAATGGACGAAGGTAGCGGCAAAGTCAATCGAATCCCCGTGTAAAATTCGTCGCGATGATTCTCCAGGAGATACGAGAATTTCTGAACTGCTGATGAGCCTGTAATCTAGTCAGAAGTGACTAGATTACACACGACGTTCGGTGGTATCGTTGCACACACGATTGTGTCGGTGTTCTCGTTTTTCCTTTGACAGGGGAACCTACGAGAAACGTAGGGGATGTTTCGCGAGGTGGCAGTCGCCACCAGGAAATCGATAACCACAGTTGAAATTCAGCACGAACTCGACGACGTCGGATAAACGGCTCGCTTTTTTTTTTTTTTTTTCTCGATTAAATTTCGCAAAACGACTGTTGCGTGCGACGCGTTGTAATTACAGTTTTGCAGTTGCAATTGAAAAAAATGCAAATTGCGTCGGCGGAAAAAAGAGAGAAAAAAAAATAAACACGAACACGGCCGAATACTCGTTCCTTCGATCCGATTATCAAAATTCATGTTATAATACAGTATTCGCTTGACCAACTCGTTTCGAAACTCTTTTGTTTCGCTTCCTGTTGACACACCTTTCGATAACAGCTCGGACCTGGTTGTTTCGTCGTAGCCTCTGTTAATTAACTCTTTTACTGTCTGTGTTCTTCGTATTTAACCCTTTCCTAATTCTCATTTCATTCTTCAAGCTCATTGTGAGTGAAAGAGCTTCTATCCCGTGTAAGCGAAATGAAATAAAAATCAGTATCGAGAGACGCGAGAACATTTCGTCGACTGTTTTTCTTTTTTTTTTTCTTTCTTTTTCAGTCGAGGTGGAAGTTTCGTGGCGTCGAGATAAAGGGATGAAAGTGCTATTCATTAACCTGAGGTTTCGGTTGAGGTTGTTGAGCAGGATGCGACGCCGGTTCCTCCTTCTTCCTTTTCCCGGCCCTCTCGTACTCTTGAAGCTTCTTCATGACGCGCGGCGAGTCCGTCAGCCGAAAAATGCCGGAGAGCGGTCCGCGTGCCGCGTCTTCTGTGTCCAGAACACGTTCACGAAGCCCCGAGGTCTCCTGCGGTGTCGACGTGAATCGCACGGTCGACCTCGAGTCGCCATCCGAGTCGTCGCCGTCTCGGTGCCGCATGAATCGGCTTCTGTACCTCGATTTGTTCCTCGGCACTTCGTATTCTGGCGCGTCATACCTGTTCGAAAAAAACAATCGTTCCATTACGTCGGCGAAATTATTGGATTCGAAAGCTTGCGTAAGCTCGCGACCGATGGATGATTGAAAGATGTTTGAAAGATCGGCTGATGTTACAAATTTTAATTAGATCCGAGGTGATTTGAACAACGTAGACGGGATATTATTGGAAATTACGACGTCTCCATGTCGAAGAGGATTTTGGACAGGTGATTTTAGAAAATAGTTATGATGTCTAGAGTAGTAATTTCGTAAATTGAAGACAGGATGATCCGTGGGTATTTGTAATGGTATCTTCGAATATCAGATTTTGAAGATTCTAGTTGGACGGTACTCAAGAACTTTAAGACAAGGAATTCTAGATCCCAGTGTCTGGAATTAATTTTCTAAATTAGAAACAAAACAGTGGAGCTCTAGACGGACGAATTGTAAAATAGCGGAGGAAGATTTTTGTCCTAAAATCTTTCGAACAATAAATTTCACGGAATTGAATTTCAATTGCCATTAACAACAGGGACAAGCTATTTTCACTCCAATTCCAAATTCTAGCCTCGATTAACTTCG